TAAGTCCTTCACACTTGAAATGTGCATTGCTTCGGTAAGCATGGTGACACCACTATTTTGCATTTTACTTTTATCATCTTGTTTTTTGGTATAAAATGTGTATCCATTAATTGTGTATGCGCTATAAGAAAACACATGCAAACTTGGACCATATACTAAACATCTCAACCTTTCTGTTATTGAAGCGGGATCAGAATAAAACTTTGAAAAAATATGATCCTTGAACCATGTTATAAAACTTCGATTGTGCTCACGTACTATCCAATTTTCATTTCTATTTAGATTTAAACCTCGGAGAACGTCCTTGTGCATTTCAACATACGGCTCAATCTCAACGTCATTATGCAGAACATACAAATGCACTTGCTTCCATTCATCCCTTGAAACTGTTACAACTTTATTTCCAAATAACTGTTTTCCTACTATTTTTTCAACAACATGAGATTTTCGGAGGCCAATGGATTGAACATTGGACAAATATTCAGTACAAAACTCAATCGCTTCTTCAACAATGTATCGTTCAACAATACAACCCTCTGGTCGACTTCGGTTTTTCACATACCCTTTCAATATTTTCATATAATGTTCAACAGAGTACATCCATCTTATATAAGCTGGTCCCCACAATTGTGTCTCTTTCACAAGATGAACAACTAGATGTACCATTATGTCAAAACATGATGGAGGAAAATACATTTCAAGCTCACACAAAGTAATAACTATTTCTTTTTGCAATGTTGGTAAGACCGCATGATCGATCACCTTACTACAAATTGACCTGAAGAAAAAACACAATTTAGTTATTGCCCTTCTCACTTTTCCTGGCAAAATAGAACGTATACCTATTGGTAGAAAGTGTTCCATTATAACATGGCAATCATGTGTCTTTAAACTCTTTAACTTGAGGTCTTTCATAGAAACAAGTCTTCTAATATCTGAAGAGTATCTTTCTGGAACTTTAACTTCACTCAGAAACTTACACAATATCTTTTTCTCCTTTCTAGATAAAGTATAAGAAACAGGTGGTAGATATGTTCGATTTCCTTTCTTCAAGGGTCCTAATGCATTTATTATTCCCATTACTACCAAGTCCTTTCTTCCTTTAAGGCCATCTTTAGACTTTCCTTGTATATTGAGTAACGTACCAATAATACTTTCAAATACATTTTTTCAATATGCATAACATCAAGAAAATGTCTTACATATAACGACTTCCAATACGGCAACTCAAACAAAATTGACCTCTTCTTCCACCCACGCGTGACAAGCGTATGAGAAAAAGGCTTGCCAAACTTAGTACTCACATCTTTCACCTTTTCAAAAAATTGTTCGCCGGTCAATGTAGGTGGAGCTCTACCTTGTTATGAATTTACATTGAATGCTTTTCTCCACCCACGGTAGTGATGATTAGAATTTAAGAATCTACGATGACCAAGAAAGACATTCTTCTGACCAAATTCCAATCGCGTCCAATCTGTGTTTTCTTCACAGATAGGACACGCACATTGACCTTTAATGTTATACCCCGATAGATTTCTGTATGCTGGAAAATCATTAATTGTGCTAAACAACATCGCCCTCAAATTGAAACTTTCTTTCCTATATCCATTATAAACCTCCACACCGTTCTCCCACAAACTCTTTAAGTCTTCGATTAAAGGTGTCAAGTATACGTCTATGTCATTCCCTGGTTGTTTAGGGCCAGAAAGGTAGGTTATAAATCATAATAATTACAGGCCATGTGGAATGTGAGATACTTTGTAGACCATGCAGATTCATTCCATCAGTCGATAATGCCAAGTGAAGGTTTCTAGCTTCTTCTCAAAAATCAAGATACTCATTATCAATTTTCATCCATTATGGTGAATCTGTCGGATGTCGATACTTCCCATCTATAATTCTATCATATGCATGCCAAGTCAAGTGTTTTGCATCTGTTTCACTACGAAACATGTGTCTAAATCTCAGAATTATAGGAAAATACCATAAGACTTTTGCTGGTGACAACTTTTTCCTATACCGAGATACACCGCATTTAGGACACTCGTTTAATGATGCATATTCATTTCAAAACAAAATGCAATCATTTGGACAAGCATGTATCTTATCATAGCTCATGCCAATAGAGCATAACATTTTTTTTAGCTTCATAGGTTCGATTGGGATGAACATTATCCTCCGGAAGCATCTCTTGTAGTAGGGCTAACAACTCTGTGAAAATTTTATCCGACCATCCATTATCCGCCTTTAAGTTGTACAACTTTAATACCGCAGACAATCTTGTGAAAGTAGTGAAACCTTTATACAATGGTTTCTTTGCATCGCTTACTAACCTCTCAAACATCTTGGGACAATCCTGAAGATCTTCTTTAAGTGCTTCTGTAATCTCTTCGACTCGATCATAATCATATGTATCCCTGCCATTGTCCTTTGAAGCATAAGTCGTATTATCCCCCGGTTCGACATCTCATTACTTATCTCACCATGTATTGTCCAACATGTATAACTTCGATCAATTCCATGTCTCATTAAATGAGATTCCAACTGAACTGCGTCAATCTGACGCCCATAACAGCAACCTAAGCAAGCACATGTGATCCTACTGGGGTCTTTGGCGTGTTCAATAGCAAACATAACGAATTTTGATACCCCATTCTCGTAACCTCCTTTAAAGTAATGCAAATTATATTCATTCAATTACTAATCTCTCTGATTTTCTATCTTAGCAACAACAATGTATTGTACAGACTACACATTAGAAGAAGAAGAACAACAACAATGTTTCCAGTTTAACATCAACAACAACACTAACATGCAACAACATCACTAACATGCAACAACATTATTTGTTTCCATCAAAAACATTTTTAAAAAACTTGAAATACCTTAAAAATGGTGGAAATACGCTGACAGTGGAGGTGGAGGACGAAGATGACGGTTAAAACGGACGGACGGAGGCGGAGGACGAAGATGACAGTCAAAACGGACAGACGACAACGGAAGGAGGCGGTCGGACGGAAGCAATGGACGGAAAATGTCGTCTGTGACTAGGGTTCTATGCGCGAGCGAGAAAGAAAGTAAAACCACGGCTGTTTTGTTTTATGAAAAATTCTGGGATTTTTTAATTGTATGTTACTTAAACCTATAGCAGCGCTTTTTCATGGCCTTTAGCAGCGCTCTATAAAAGCGTTCTCTAAGGTCTACCTTAGGCAGGACCTATAGCAGCGGTTTTATAAAAGCGCTTTCTTTTGTACTCTATATAGCAGCGCTTTTGTAAAAGCGTTTTCTAAGGCCTGCCTTAGGCATGACCTATAGCAGCACTTTTAAAAAGCGCTTTCATAGGTTACACCTATAGCAGCGCTTTTGTAAGACCTACTTTTAGCAGCGTTTTGTGTAAAGCGCTTTCTATTGTTAACCATAGCTGCCACCTTTAGCAGCGCTTTTCTAAAAGCGCTGTCTAAAGTCAGCTATTTTTTTTTCTGACTCTTTAACAGCGCTTTCGCAAAAAGCGTTGTCTTTTCTGCGCTGCCAAAAATCATTTCTGTATTAGTGCATATATATATATATATATATATATATATATATATATATATATATATATATATATATATATATATATATATATATATATATATATATATATATATATATATATATATATATATATATATATATATATATATATATATTATCCCCCTTTCACTCTCAAATTATATCTCTCTAACTTCAGTATTTTAGACATTAAAATAATAATCTTGTAGATTCATCACACTCTACAGTAATTGAAGATCTCGTCGTTGCGAAGGAAAGACTTGTTTTTCATCCTCTCCTTTTTCCATTCTACCACAAAACACTTAGTAAATAAAAAGTTAATATAAAATATTGAAGTTAAATAGAGTTTAATCTAATAAATTTTATTTATACTTTTAAAAAAATGATAACATGTAATCCAAAAATATTTATTATAAAATCTAATATAATAAAAATAATATTTTAAAACTTGTATAGTCAATTCTTGAAAATCTAAAATATATTCTTTTCAACATATAGCTTTTATGTTTTTATTCTTTAATAAGAATATTAAGGGAATTTGTTTGCATTACTGTATATTTAAAATGATCAATTGAATATAGTCTTCCAAAATTTAAAATAAAATTAAAAATATTGTAAAAACTAAAATCAAATAAAAAATTATAAGAACTAAAACTAAAAGAAATATATTTACTTAGACAAAGTAATATTTAAACCTATTTAAAATTAAAATCTACTATGGATTTTCCACATATATATATATAATTTAGATAAGGTATTTATTAAAGGGAGAATCTAGATTCTAGAGAGAAGAAGGTTGGTTGTTAGGTTCTTGAATTCTGTGGGCTGTGGCAGTGTTATGAAATTCCTAATATGATATGATACTACCAATAACAAACCAACATTCTGCAAATTGTTGAGGAGACACACTATCGTCATCCTTACCCCACTACTTTAATGCTCAACAAAAATATCATCAAAAAAACATTCTCTTTTTTCTACGGTAAATATTTTATTTTTCATGGTTTTTTCTAACCTCGTCCTATGTCGATCCAGATATCATTATTCACCATTTTAACGACAACGGCCATCACCATTGCAAAAGTTTTTATGTGACCTCAACGCAACTTTTACCGATTAACAACCCGATCGCAATTGCGAAAACCTTTATAGCTTTTATAGCTGAAAGAAAATCGTCGCGTCAGGCTCTCTATTTCATAATATATCAATCTACCTATCTCTAAATTTTTTCAGAAAATTTCCAAAATTAGTCTGAAAATGAACAAAATCAAAACTAAAATGAATATTACTACTAGCTAACAAACCTTCCATTCAACCTCAAAATTTACATTCCCGAGAAATATTAATGTACAGTTGTACTACTTTGTGAGTACATAAAAAAAACATAAGGATCTAAAATTCTAAACCAATCACAGAACATGCAAACCGATCGACACAAGTTTTGTTTCTTAAACATTCTGATCTGTTGTTATAGTTGTTGTTTCTGTTGCTGTTCTTTCCACACTCTCTGTTCTTCCAACACGATTTTCACCACCACTTCCTTGTTTCACACTTGAATCACCATCATCGCCTTCATCGTTATCGTTATCGGCATCATCATTCAGATTTTCCTTCGATTTCTGGTTCTGGTCACAGGTACATGTACTAGTGTTATCGCCGAAAGACGAGGATCTACTAGTTCCTACGCTTGAAGACATTCTTGGTGTTGCTAAGAATGTTGGTTTCTCCTGTCCCGCCATAATCACCAAGATTTTCTCCTCGTAAGGCTTCTGAGGCTTTTCATCTGTGTCGTTTGTTGCTTGTCCGGCTTCGAGGTCTCGTTCGGATTCGCCGTTGCCTTCGAGGTAACCGGAGAGTTTCCAATAAGAGCATGCAAGTATTAAGAGAGCGAAAGCTATAAGACCTAACATGGCAGCTAAACCGCCGAAGAGGTAAGGGACGGGTGAATGCCATGGGGAGTGTGGTGTTTGGGGTGAGGTTGGTGCTCTATCGGATATGGTCATGGGTTGTCTGTATGCAGCCATTATTGTGTGGAACAGAGAGGAAACAGAGGAAGGGAAAGTTGTTGGGGAGTGGAGATGGTGTTTTTTGATTTAGGAGGAAGGTTGGGTTGTGAAGTGGGTGATGGGTTGGAAAGGTATTTATAGAGGGAGTTAAGAAATGGGGTTTCATTGGTTTTTTGTATTATGGATTTTGTGTGTGAAACAAGGTAAAGGTAAGAAAGTTGTTTTTTTTTTATAAATAATTATTCAAAATAACAACAATAATATGGTGGATCAATAGTTCTAATTACGATTCAATCTCCATAATTGTGAACGAAAAAATTGAAATTATTGATGTCAAAGTGATCTTTTAAATCAAATTAGTCGATCTAATGAATTAGATATCAATGATAAAGATAAAATAGTTCACTTAATTTTACAACAAAATTCAATTAGTGTTTCTAGTTCGATCAGAGCATTTGTGTCAAATTCTTTTAAGGTTGCTCTCGTTGTATATTATGAATTTTTTTCTTCCTAATTTTATACATCAATTTTTACAATTGTAAGCCAATAATATTTAATAATTTATTAAACTACTTTATTATTATAAAATTAATTAATTTATTATAAGATAAATATTGCCTCCCCTATAATCATATTATAATTTGACAGTCAAATTTTGAAGTCAAGTAATCATATGGTAAGAAAATATGATCATGTAAATTCGAATATACATGTCTCTATCCTGATTTTTTTATGATTATCGACTATATGACTTAATTTGACTATTAGATAACCAAAATTTCATAGAAGATGATTTTTGGTAAATTATATATATATATATTCATAAAGTTTCGAATTATGTTTAAGTTATATTTACAAAATTGAGTTGTTAAAAATGAGAGAATTGAAATTTAAAAACTATTAAAAAAGAAAATTATGAAATGTTTTTATAAAATTACTTTTGAGTCATAAACGCTAACATGATAACAATTGTAGAAGCAACTAATAACAATTGATATATTGTTGATGATGACGAAACAGGGACGAGGGCGGCCGAAATCCACGGAACCACCGTCACCGGAGACTCTTACTAGCTCGAAGACTTCTGAGATTGAATCAAGAACTACCACCATAGTAGATGAAGATGTAACAAGCATTGTGAAGGTACTCGAGAATGAAAACACTGAAAACCTAACATAACAGACACAAGTGTAGCCGGAAGAACGTAACTATGTGTTAATATTACCCTGCAAAGGGACTGGCAATGGAATACGTTGCACCTAAGGTAATTAATGGAGTGATTGAAATTGACATTGAACAGGAAGACATTGAAACGGAAATACGGTTTTGGGATAATGCGCTAATCCTATATGTTGTGGGAGATGAATTGAGTATGAACACAGTGAAGAACTTTATGCAAAGAATGTGGAACTTCGTGAAGATGCCAGATCTTTACTACCATGATGACGAGTATTTTCTGCTCAGATTTAACTCGCAGAAAGACAAGGAAGAAGTCCTGATGAAAGGCCCATACACGATTAGAAATATGCCCATGATATTGAAGGAATGGCAAACTGGTTTCAATATGAAGAAGGATCTACTAAGAACATTACCAATATAGATCAAACTTCCCCAACTTCCCCTGCATCTTTGGGGGGCAAAAAGCCTTAGCAAGATTGGAAGTGCCATTGGCAAACCATTGGTGACTGATGAGTGCACGACGAACAAGTTCCGTGTCTCATATGCAAGAATACTAATTGAAGTGGATATTACACAACCATTGATTGATGAAATAACCATTAGGAATGTTGCAGCAAATGTGATAATTTAGCCTGTGAAATATGAATGGAGGCCAACATTATGTGAAACATGTCAAAAACTGGGGCATAAATGTGAAGACAGAGGGAAGATTCAAAAATGGAAACCAAAACCCAGTCCACCGGAAGCATCCAAGAACATAACGCCCATAAAACAACCAGTAGGAGGGGAGACAACAGGTGAAGAAGGTGAATCTTGGACAAGAGTGAGGAAATCTGTACGAGATAAAGGTAAAAACATATTGACTGATACAACTAGCAACATCAACTGTAACAATGGTTTTGAAGCACTTGAGGTTTTGAATGACCATCAAGTGGTCACAAACCTTGAACCATGTTAGTCTCATGGAACATAAGGGGACTCAATAAAGTAGGCAAAATTTGTGAGATTAGGTCCCCTCTCCAAGAACTAAAGCCTGCTATTATCATCTTGATTGAAACTAGAGTTAAGGAATCTAAAGCCAAGGACATTCAAGAGAAGTTGATGATTTATGATAATCACATGGACAACTACAAAGACCATACAAATGGGAGGATCTGGATTCACTGGGATAGTAACATGGTAGATGTGAGATTTATACAAAGTAGCAGCCAATTTATACATTGTGGTGTCTATGATAATCTTGGAATATTCGAGCACTGGTTGACTGCTGTTTATGCTCATAACCAATTAAACAAAAGGAGAATCTTGTGGAAAGAGATAGAATACCTATATGGTAACATCCAAGGCCCTTGGTGTATCATAGGAGACTACAATAATGTAACCAAAGCACAAGACAAGATGGGAGGGAATCTGGTGACTGAAAAGGAATATGAAGACCTGATAAGAATGATGGAGAATACAGGTTTAAGTGAGATGGATAGCATTGGAGATCATTTCACATGGTCCATAAGCAAGAAGCTGGACCCATCTACTCAAGGATTGACAGAGTTTTGGGCAATACTGAGTGGTTCCTCACCAATATAGGGACTATATTGAAAATCCTTCCACCAAATATTTCTGATCATGCCTTGCTATACTTGGATTATAAAGAACAAAGGAAAACCTCCAGACATTTTAAGTTTAGCAACTACCTTACTGAACTACCAGGTTATGATGCCTTGATCAAGAAGAATTGGGATGATCATATTAGAGGTAGTCCAATGTATGTACTTTGGCAAAAACCAAGAGATTGAAGCATGGGTTAAATTTTTTTAGCAAACCTCTTTCTGATGTAAAAAATAAACTGATATCAACCAGAGCCAACCTCAAAGAAGTACAAGGACAGCTGAGTGATGACAAAATGAATAGCACCTTGATTGGAAAAGCAAAAGAACTGACTGAGGAAGTTGTATCCCTGAACGAGCTTGAATGGAAGATATTGCAACGAAGGGTAAAGATTGACTGGATTAGAAAAGGAGATGGAAATAATCAATACTTCTATGCTGCTATCAAAGTCAAACACCACTCCAACTGCCTTAACAATTTGAGAAAGAGTGATGGTAGGAAGATAACATCCCAAAAGGACATTGAAAAGGAAGTGATAAATTTCTATAGAGACTTGATGGGCAAACATGTTAACATTATTAGCCATATAGATATTGAGGCCATGAGAATGGGTAAACAACTTAAAATAGACCAGAGGAAATACCTTACCAGAACCATCACAGAGGATGATATCACCAAAGCTCTTAGAAGGATTGGAGACCTCAAAGCACCAGGTCTGGATGGTTATGGAGCCAAATTTTTCAAGACCAGCTGGACAACCATTAAGACTGTTGTGATAGTAGTTGTTAAGGAATATTTTGAGACGGGTAAAATCTACAAAGCCTTCAACAATGTTGTAGTCTCCCTGATTCCAAAAGGCAATAAGGCTTGTGAGATTAAAGATTACAGACCTACAGTTGTTTGCACCACGTTTTATAAAATCATCTCCAAGATCCTGACGGACAGACTAGGTTTTGTCCTTCCTAGTGTGATAAGTCACAATCAGACAACTTTTGTACCAGGCCAGAACATACATAACCACATCATGCTTGCTACTGAGCTTCTTAAAGGATACACCAGAAAAGGGGGCACACCTAGAATTATGATGCAAATAGATCTATAAAAAGCATATGATATGGTTAATTGGAGAGCTTTGGAGTGCATTATGAAGGAAATAGGCATTCCTAATAAGTTCATCCAGTGGACTATGATAGGCGTCACCACTGTATCCTATAGATTTAACATCACGGGGGAATACACTGATGTCTTGCAGGCCAAAAGGGGGATTCGGCAGGGTGATCCTTTATCACGTATGCTCTTTGTCCTTATAATGGAATACATGAACAGACTGTTGGTTAAAATGCAAAGGGATCCTAATTTCAACTACCATGCCAAATGTGAGAATTTGAAAATTACCAACCTCACTTTTGCAGATGATGTACTGTTACTTTGTAGAGGAGACGAAATATCAATGCAAATGATATTAAAGACTTTCAGAAAATTCTCCAAATCCATAGAATTGATGATGAACCCTAACAAGTGCAGGATATATTTTGGGGGTTTGGATAATGAGAATAAAAAGGCATTGAAAGAGCTTTCGGGTTTCTAAGAAGGGACACTACCATTCAAATACTTAATAATCCCTCTGTCTAGCAAGAGATTAACCATCAACCATTTTATGCCCTTGGTGGATAAAATAGTGACTAGAATTCATCATTGGTCCTCTAGACTCCTAAGCTATGCAGGAAGAATACAACTGGTGAAAAGTATAGCTTATGTAATGGTGCAATATTGGATACGTTGCCTCCCCATGCCCAAATATGTGATCAAAAAAGTAGATGCAATCTGTCGAAGCTTCAACTGGACAGGTAAGGATGCTGTGAGCAGAAAATGCCCTGTAGCTTGGAAAAACACTTGTTGCCCTACTGTGCAAGGTAGGATGAACTTACTGAACCTTCAGGTCTGGGACAATGTGCTGCTCTTGAAATGTCTTTGGAACCTATGCAACAAAACTGGCACACTATGGGTTAAATGGATCCATACTCATTACTTAAAAGGTAATAATGTGATGAATTATGTAACCAAAACACATAATTCTTGGATCATGCGAGGTATCTTGAAACAAAGAGATAACATGGATTTATTTCGGAATGAATGGGACCAAGTTATGAACACGCACAAGTTTAAAGCTGCAGTGTTTTATAAGGTATTAATTGATGATGGCACAAAGGTGCATTGGAGAAAGCTGATCGGTTCCAGCAAAAGACACTCGCGAGCAGTGCAATGCTTATGGCAAGCTTGTCATGGGAAACTTGCAACCAAAGAAATGTTGAAACGATTTGTGATGATTGAAGACAGCATATGCAGTTTGTGTCAATATGAGGAAGAAACGATGAACCATCTGTTTTTCTACTGTCAAAGGACAAGACACATATGGCAGGAAGTGCTCAAGTGGTTTAACATTCATCATGAACCTCAACAATGGGATGCAGAACTGATTTGGATCACTAGTCTAACAAAGGGAAAAGCATGGAAAGTTGATGTTTTAAAGATGTTAGTAGCTGAAACCATTTACAACATTTGGAGATATAGAAATAGTATAACTTTTGGAAACATTGTAGATAATACAAACATGGTTACAAAAATCATAGATAATGTGATCTATAGAGGATGGCAAAACATTAGGATTAGAAAATATCTGGTTAGTTTTATGATGTAATTTGAGTCATTTTGGTGGGTTGAATCCTTCTTGGATCACCTAATTTTGTATTTGACTGTTTTTTTGAATTAATATATTCTTCCTTGATTAAAAAAAAAAGATAAATTTATAAAATCAAGGTAAAAAGTAATAATTATTTATGATATAAAAAAGTTAATATTAATTACTATTTATATATGTAAAACAACTTATAATCTAGTATTAGTTTTTTTCAAACTCATTACAAAAAAATCTGAAGAATCACCCTCTTAAATAGAAGAGAGGTGATTTATGTTTGTCATTTTAATTTAATGAATTGATTAATTCAAGAAGTGGGGTCTATAACTTTGATTATTTAGTAATAATTTATTTTTTGAGTTACTCAATTTAGGATAGGATTAGTGCAAGTGATGCGCACTCACAAGGACCCTACTATAGTCATATCAAAATCATTTCCTAGAGTAAGAGGAGAGAATATGATCCTTTTGCATGTTTGGCAACAAGCAAACTCTAAATATTTATTCTTTTACACCAAAAAAAATTCACATTATTTGAGAACATTGAATACATTCTTAGAACAAATTAAATAGATATAATATACCTATGGATACATTCTCAAAATCTCAATTTTATAAAGTCAGACTCAAAGTATCTACTCATTCTTGTGGCCTTTACTGTAAAAGAATATTACTAGTTAATTCATAGATATATGATTCTAAATGCATGTGTTGCCACATTATAATTTTAAATTAATAAATGAAATGCATGTATGATTCATGAGATTGTATTAATGGAATCTATAAAGATTTGTACTATATTTTTTTTAAAATTAATATAAAGTGAAAATGCTCCGGTGGCTGTGTATCTAATTAGGTTTATTTAAGTTTCATATCTTAGTTATAAATTCAATAATAATTAATTATAATTTGGATAAGAGATACCGACTTGCTAATCATCTGATTTGTTTCTCTAAAACTAAATATTTTAATTGGAATGTTAAAATATGGAAAAAGAGATTCCCCTCCTAGAATGCTTGGATACATCATTTAAATATTATGCAGCTTTGGATACCTCTCCTCTTACTTTTTCTAGTGGTTAAATTACTTTTGAAGAAAAATTTATTAAATTTAAGGATAAAATTATTTATATTTCTACTTTTTATAATTAATTAAAAACATTCACTAATCTAACTTAATTCAATTTAATAATATTGATTTAAATTGATGTATATGTATAACTAAAATTAAAAACAATTTTTTTTCATCAAATTCAAGCTAAAAAGTTAACTAGATATAACAAAATACAACAATATTATTTCATCTTCAACCCTATGATGACTCATTCCATCTCTTTTGTTGACATGATATGTTTGTTCAAATTTAAAATAAGATACAAAAAAACATGAATGTAACATAGGATAGGACCATGTGACATCATATTTAGACCATGGGTCCATTCTAGGTAGACCACCTGACTAGCACATAACTCATGTATATATGTACTCTCGTGATGAGATTCTGTTACAGATTCCGTTACAACTGTTTTGTTTCATTCTAACTGTGCATGCATGCCGTGACGGAAGTTTATGGTGTGCACATTTTTCACGGCAACTTTATCTTCTACATTCTTTTTTTTATTTGTTGCTTAGTGATGAGAGCAAGAATATAAGTGATTATCATTAATTTAATGAAGTGGGTGGGAAAATGGTGGAAACCATTTCATTTTTTTTTCAAAAAGTTGCTGACTTTAAAACACATATAAATATAAACAGAATGTATATTATTATTATTATATTATAATTGTTTAATAATTTAAATAATTGATAATTATGGTATGAAAATAAAAATAAAATTATTATATAAATATATATATTTTTATTTTTTAATTGATTTATGAATTATATAATCGTAAACATTTTATAAGTTAATTAAATTAAATTGACTTTAGGTATAAAAATAATAGGAAATGATAGAAGAAAAGTGAAAAATACATATAAATTAAAAGGGAGAATGTATAGACAAAATTTGTAATAGAAAACAAAGAAGATAGAATTATAAAATATAATATGTACAAACCTTTAAAATGATAGTTAATAAAAAATGAGTAATAAATATTACATAAAATTTTATTATAATATCTAAATGCACATCTTTTTATTAAGATATTTGTACACACATTGTATAAAATAATATTATAATATATCGTAACAGCAAGATCTTTAACAATAGATATAAAATCGAATTGCATATGTTTATATTTGTTAAATATATACGTAATGCATGATATATATTATCTTAAAATCATACGATAATATGAATCATTCATAATTATTTTATGATTACAATACATATATTTTTTGTTATTAATAATAATAATAGTAATAAATAATAGGTGAAAATTTGTAAATTATGAAACAAAATGTAGAGATATTATAAAATTATTATTTAGTGATAAAATAAGTAGTCAATAAAAAAAAATGTAGTGTATGTGATAGCTCAATTGGTATGTGTTACTTGAGATAAATGATGGAAACTTATCGGTTCAGGGTTCAATCACTAGTACACAAATAAGAAGTAAATTTCACCAGTATCATAATCAACAAAAAAAATATGCGTAGACTAATCTATCTGCACATGTATTTTCCTCTCTAAAAATGTGAGATATCTTGAATCTAAAGGAATTATAGTGTGTAAAGTATTTTTAGTATCTTATTTGGCAAAGTCCAAGACCATGGCGCCTATTACCTACTAAGTAAGCCGCCCTGACACAATACAGTGAAGCCGCTGCGCAATCCGTTCAACGTAAGGTTGAGGAAGAAAAAGTCCTTCTTGACTCCGGAGATATAGTCGATCAACGACACCCCTAAAAATTAGGGAAACAGACGAGACCGCATCTAGAGAGGTCCATAAACCATAGCCCTGAGGAATCCCTATAAATACTTCATCCCTCAAAGGGAGAGGGATCAAGTCATATTCACTCAATACCATCCAATACTGCTCAGAGAACACTTCGCTCCCAGCAATCCTAACACTGGTCATTTTATTGTATACTTGTAACCTAGCAGCGCCGACCGCCAACAAGGTCTCTTACCTTACGTGATCTGGTTCCTTAAACAGCCTCAAAAACCACCATACATGACTACTCTCCATCGTGATTTAGACCTCACCACATTCGTGTAATATACCCACTAGGGCCTCTAAGTCTCTCTGTCCTTGCATGGGAAACACACACGCACCTAATACTTTTTTGAACAGTATAGTGGCATCCACCGAGGGGTCCGGTTAAACTAACTTGGGCTACACCTCTCTCTAGAAAAAAATAATCATTGTCCGTACCATACACTAAAATCCCATTTCCGACCATTACTAGACATGGTGAAGAGAAGAGATTCATCCCTTACTCTTGAGGATACTAGTGGTACGAGTGATGTCGAGGTCACGGCGGAGATGTGAGCCGCCATGAACGAATTATGCTGCCACAACCAAATGTTGGATAATGACGTCCAAAACATCAGAGAACGCTAATAGAAGATCAATCCCCTGGAAGAGACGGAACTATTAGACCCTTAGACTCTCTCGGACAAAATACCGCGGGGGGGGGGGGGGGGGGGGGGGGGGGGCAATTCTTGAAGGCTTAAGATCTTTATCCCTGGCCAAGTTTGATGGACGCAACGACCCCTACAAGTACGTCGCCTTCATTAACACACAAATGATCGTAGGAGCATCAAACTCTCTAAAGTGTAAGTTGCTGTCATGAACCTTCAGGGAAGCCACCCTTAGATGGTATATGAGCATCCCCTGGGCCTTTATTAACATCTACTAGAAACTGGTAAGAAATTTGGTACACCAATTCACCACCATTTACCATAGGAAGATGTCTAGCATTAGCCTATTAAACTTTCTCCATGGCCC